CACGAAATGCAGTGTGGCCAGCTGGCATGGCCACCAAGCTGACCAGGTATCAAAACTTAATAACAAACGTCAATCATACCTGGCTCGTATCCTGACGGTAGCCTCATGGTTCCTTCGCAGATTAAATACCACACAATAAAATTTTAAGCATTTTGCCGTTCCCAGAAGACAGTTCTGAAAAGTTACAAAATAAGATCAGCTAACTAAAATAAATAACAAGTGAAGTAATGAGTATCACAAAATAGAGTACACACATTCTTTGTGATTTCACATCCTTCACTGATCATAATGTTCATTTATTACAGACAAAAAACTGTTGCTGACTGAGCATAACAAAAGCACAGGGTCTACACCGTAGCGGCAAGCCGCAGATATCGTATTACTTCATCAGTCTGAACTGAATTTCATTTAATAAGGAAGCTTCTATGTAAATATGCAATTACAGAAGCAATTAGCACTCAGAGGGTTAAAAATAATTCCAATCAGAGAAGTTACGAGGACACACCCTGGACTGAGTTGGTATACAAATAAAAGGATGCTGCCACCAGTCCAACTCACCATATTAACAAGTTCATGTTTGTTCCCATCTTTATCTACATAAGACTCAGCTCTGACAACCATCTCAACATCTCGCCTCCTTCGCCGAGTCTGAGGATGATCTGATTCCCACGTGGGCTCCGGAGGTTCCAAAGTAGCAGCTAAAGGCCTTGAAGGGAGTCTCAGAGACTCCAGAGGGAGCTCTTCCACTCCAGGTCGGCGAGTCAGGTTCAAGGGATTCACATGGCCATGTGCGATGAAGCATTCTCCACCGCCCTGTCCTGTGACACAATGCGATATTTTTTTATATGCACTTATAGTCAACTGGAGCATCTCTTTACTGAGATACATGAGAACTTGCAACTGGTAGACTGATTCTTAGTTTAATAACACTTTCAGTTAGAGACTGCAGCACTGAAAGAAATGAGATGATGATCATGAATGGTCAGCTCATTAATATTTTGGAAAAAGGCACTTGTGATCTAATGCAGTGTTATTAACCTGCCATTTTCCTGGAGAGATTTAGGAAAATCTCAACAAACTTCAGACAGGAAAGTAGTTCGAAGGTCATCGTGTACGTACAAACACAAAAGAGAACATACAGTGTACCAAGTCCAGATGTCAGTCCACCAAAGATATCAATGGCATGAAGCAGTCTCTTGGTTCTTCTTGTAACTTTTCATTCTACTGACAGCGCTACTAATATTTATCTTGTCCTTGTCCTTGCATAACATCTGCGTGTTATGTTAACACAGAACATGCATTAACAATTAACAATACATGGTCTACCGTTAAAAAAATGTTATGTTAACTGACTGAAGTGTAACAAACCTTCTACAGTTGGTCTGTCTTCAAGATACAGAAGCCATTTTCCTTGCGGTTTGTTGTTGGCAACTTGGAAAGGCCATTCTATATGCACTTCAAGGCTACCAACTTTCCAAGGTCCCTGGTTGAAGATGTGGTACGTATGCATCACTCTCTCACCAATGTCATCAAGGTGCTCCATGGCTGATTCTCCGCGCACAACCCCTCCATAATAAACGTGATCCGGATCCACAGAACTGCAATACAGATAGAATTAAGGGAAAACTTATTCTTGTGGCAGAATTTTGCTATAAATACCGACAACATGAAGGACTTTCTTGTTTCTGTGGCCATGGCATCAGTCATTGAGACTGCAGTAAATGGATTTTCATGCCATGCAAGGTATCAAAGATTAGAGTTAATTTATTTCTTCATAGATGTAAGAATTTTATAGCTCTGAGAAAACTAACATGTTGGACATTATAGCAAAACCAATTACATCAAATCAACCCTTTCGAGAGACATTCTCTTTATTAATTCACTTTATGGACTTCTGCAACTGCTTTGAAGTGTCAAGAGATGATATGAGAAGGATCTCAGCATACACATTCCAGAAGTAATACATGTTAGATCCAAAGTCCAGTTGACAACAGGAGCCAAGGACCGCCTCTTATTCAAATTGAACTGAATTAAACTCACCCTGTGACAGAAATTTCCGCCCTGCGAATGACACTGGTGTGTAGAGTAGAGGGCGCCTGAGGATCTAATTCCTTTGATGTTGAGTTGGCAAACACAACAAATTCCAGCTGGGATTCAGTATCTGCCAGACCCTTCGGATCAAACCGAAGCTGAATGTTGGCAGGAGCGCCTTGCTTGAAAGGATTGCCGATATTGCACTTTATCAGTGTCTTATTGTGCGGGGTGCAGCTCATGTGTTTACTCTGCAAATTCAGTGGAACCATAAGAAATTTGTGTCTAATGCTAGTGCCTGAGAAATTGCAATGTGAACAAAGTAACAAGAAAAATGAAGAAAATTAGTTAATTAGATAGTGAATGGCTTCAAAGTTTCACTCTTCAATTGATATTGTTAGGGTGATTAAC